ATAAAAATAATTAGTTTGTTATTGCATTCTCTTGCCATCTATGATATTTTTTCGAAAATTTTAAATTTTACTTTTATATATATTTATATTAACTAAATAGTCCTGGTGTTAAATTAATAAACTAGTAAGACTGTTTTATTATATAATAGTTATTATATTTGACCATAGATGTCATTCAAGTCTTAATTTCCTTATACTTTTGATTATTGTTTTTGTTTTTATTAATTCATTTGTTTTTTAATTAAAAAAAAAAAATAGACACTTTAAAATTTTTTATTATTTATAATATAAAACAAATGTATTATTATTTTTAAAAAAAATTAATACTTAAACGTTTGCTTTTTTTCGACATCACACAATCGGGACCATTCGAAAAAAAAAAAAAAAACTTTTAATTTAAAAAAAAAAAAATTATTTGTTGAGATCTGTTGAAATGACACACAAATAATAACCGTTTTAAAAAGTATTTTTATAAATTATTTTTGTTAAATTGATTACGTTTTAATAAACATAATTTAACAAAAATAAATAAATAAATTATATAAATATTATATTTGTTTATTAAGTAAAAATAAATGATAAACTTGGAGTGACTTAATATAATTAATAAAGCCAAAAAAAAAATACAATTAATAAATTTTTAAATTCTTTTTTTAATTTAAAAATAATTAAACTATAGTAATTTGTATTAAAAATTATAAATCATAAATTAAATTTAAATTGTATAATAAAAATAAAAATAAATTTTTTTTAAAATCTTCCACCAAAACAAGTGTGGCGGCCATTTTCTAAAATCAATTAAGTATGTCAGTAATCACAATACGACCTAACAACATTGTCAGGTAAGATTAATTTTTTTAAATAAAAGTTTCTTCTCTAAATATTTATTTTATAATTAATTGAAAAAGAAAAAAAAGTTAAAATCATTTCTTTTCGTATATATTTTATATTTAATTTTAAAAAAATTTTTCTAGCCTATATTTAGAACTTTATCCTGGTTCAAAGTTCATTAATCTAATTGAATGATTCAGAGAGAAAATTTATTTGTTGACATTCGAAAAGGATAATCTATTAAAAATGAGTCGGGTAGGTTTTTTAATTATTATTATTATTATTTTTAATTAGTATTGTTTTATTGATTTAAAAATAAAAAGATTTGAGATAAATTATTTTGTATGCAAATGTTTAAACATGCTGGTGTTCAATTGAACCTGGCGGGAAATTCAAATAATTTTTTTATATCATTTTGACTTTTATCTGATTCTAGGCTTTTAAGACATTATTTCAAAAAAATTTGAAAAGAAATTTTCAATCATCTTGTACAAGATTTGCATCGAATACAATCCCTGAAACAGGAATTAGTTTTAGTAAGTCTTGCTTTGACTTGTAAATTTAGACGTTGTTTGTTTTTCGGGGAGGTTACCTTTTTACGATATTCTTTCAGAACTCAATGATACACAGCAAGAATTTCAAAATCTTGCTAGAAAATTTGCAAGAGAGGAAATTATACCCAAAGTGGCAGAATATGATAAATCAGGAGAATATCCTTGGGATTTAGTTAAAAAAGCTCATAGTATTGGACTTTTGAACCCAGGCATACCATCTGAACTTGGTGGTCTCGGTTTAGGAGTTTTCGATGAATGCCTTATAACTGAAGAATTAGCTTATGCTTGTACTGGTATTTCTACAGCTTTAATGAGTACTTGTTTAGGAGTAAATAATATATATTGTAAACATAACCAAAAAAAAAAAAAAAATGTCATTATTTTAACTTAAAAAAAAAAATTTTTTTTTTTTTAGCAAACCCCAGTATTAATAGCGGGAAATAAAGAGCAACAGAAAAAATATTTAGGCAGGCTTATCGAACAACCATTAGTAGCTGTATGTTATTTTAATTAATTGTAAAAATATTATAATTTTTTTATTGTATTACTTATTATTATTATTATTAAATTTAGGCTTATTGTGTGACTGAACCTGGTGCAGGATCTGATGTTAGTGGAGTGAAAACAAAAGCTGAAAAAAAAGGAGATGAATATGTAATAAACGGTCAAAAAATGTGGATCACAAATGGTGGAGTTGCAAATTGGTATTTCGTTTTGGCCAGAACCGATCCCAATCCTAAAACCCCTGCTGGTAAAGCATTCACCGGATTTATCGTTGATAGAGATACTCCAGGAATTACAGTGGGACGCAAGGTTTGTATTCGATTAAATAATTCATTTCAATTTTGCAGAAATTTAGTCAGTTTCTAATTTTTATAAAACAAAGTTTGTTAAAGTAATTGTTTTTAATAGGAAATAAATATGGGTCAAAGGGCATCAGATACAAGAGGAATAACATTTGAAGATGTTAGAGTTCCTAAAGAAAATGTTTTATTGAAAGAAGGTGACGGTTTTAAAATAGCAATGGGTGCTTTCGATAGAACAAGACCACCAGTAAGTTTAATTTTATTTAGTGTGTAACATTTTTAACTGCTTTTACAATTCGAAAAATAAATTTTCTCAAAGGTTAATAATAAAAACATTAAGCACAATGAATTATTCCTTTTATAGGTTGCAGCAGCAGCTGTTGGTCTCGCCCAAAGAGCTTTAGATGAAGCTTCAAAATATGCAATGGAAAGAAAAACATTTGGAGTACCTATTTTTTCACATCAGGCTGTAGCTTTTCTATTGGCAGAAATGGCTATTGGTGTCGAAACATCCAGACTGGCATGGTGGAGAGCAGCTTGGGAAGTTGACCAGGGTAGAAGGAATACATATTATGCATCAGTTGCTAAAGCTTTGGCAGCTGATATTGCTAACAAATGTGCCACGGATGCTGTACAGGTTAGCTAAAATTATTTTGTCTTTTTTTTTGTGAGTTTACGTTTAACACGTGTAACATCATTTTTTATACACACAAAATCGTCAAAATTTTCATTATTTACTTCCATTTTTCAGGTATTTGGTGGTAACGGATTCAACACCGAGTATCCAGTTGAAAAATTAATGAGAGATGCTAAAATTTATCAAATTTACGAAGGAACTGCTCAAATTCAAAGACTTATTATATCTAGGGAAGTTTTCGAAAGGGCAAAATCAAGTTAAAAATAGAATAATAATGATAAAATCAAGGAGAGCAGAAAAAAAATATTATTGCTAATGATAATAGTTTTAATTTTTTCTTTCTAAATGTTTTCAAATATTTTTTTATACGTACGAAATATGATATTTAATATAATAATAATAATAATTATTAATTTTTTTATACGAAATAATTATTGAGTGCAATAAAATTACATTTTTATATCACACAAAATGGAGGAGAAAAAAAAACAATTTTTTAAATTAATTATTTGTAATTTAATTATAATAATTTGGTTGTGGGTAAATACTTCAAAATATTATAAAAATTTTTATATTTTTATAGCAAAATTCTAAATAAAAAATAAAAAAAAATTGTAAAGAAAACAACATCCGGTAAATAAAATTTTAACGGTTTTTTATAACGAACTATATCGTAGGGTTGTCAATAATAATAATATTGATGTTATTTAACATTTTATTTTAATTTTTTGCAGGGTATACTGATATTATTTTTATTTATTTAATTTTAAATAATTCAAAAAAAACCTCAGGCAAATTTAAAAAAAAAAAAAAATTACAAAATGGTTGTTTGTTTTATTAAAAAACATTCAATATTTCATCCTTCAGGATTATTTACCTAATATTTTTTTTGTATGATTTATTTTATTAAGTAATAGATAGATTTATGTCAGATTTAATTGTATTATTATTCACTTATTAATAAGGTACAAAATAAATAAAAAAATTTTTTAATAATTATAATAATGGCCTTAAGTTTCAGGTTTTTTTTAAAAATCAATATATATATATTTTAAATCATGACCATGACCGAAAAATAAATCCACGTATAAATTACATGGATAATCACATAATAATAATAATAATAATACATTCCATTCAAAAAAACTTTTTAAGAATAACTTTTGTTTATTTATATATTATTATTATTAATAATAATTTTTTTTAACTGACTTTGCAAAATGTATTATTATTATTATTATTATTGTTTGTAGTGGTTGTTGCATAAAGAAAATTTACAATGGTTTTGATATAAGTTTGTGAAAGTTGTTGGATGTTAATTCATGACAAAAAAAAAAAAATCTGTCAAATCAAATTATTATTATTATTATTAAAAACAATCATTTATTCCTTGTAACTGGGTTAAAAAAGGTTAACAACAGAAAAATAATATTAATAGAATTTATATTTATAGTTTATAGTTTTTTCCCTAAAGAAAATTTAATTGTTTATTCCCCTTGCTCAATGACATATTTGTTTGTCATATAAAAAATTTAAGGGATGAAGGGTAGCAGAAGAAAAATTTAAATGAAATCAAAAGTAAATTTACAAGTTTGTTATGCGATATAAAAAAAAAAAAAGAAGAAGAAGAAAAAGAAAAAAAAACTCTCTCTTTTAAAAAAGAAAGAAAAAAACTTTTCCTTTCAAATTTTTCTTTTAGCAATTCTTTATGAAGTCATTTTTTTTTATTATTATTATTATGAAATAGAATTTGAATTTTAGTTCTTGTTACGTCCATAGATGGCAGTCGGGTAAGTTTTTAACCGCCAAGGTCAGCTTGATTATAACTAAAACAGTCATTATACGGTCTTTTTCTCGAACAAAAGAAAGTAAATTAAACTACTTTATAATTTTTTAATTTATTGTAAAAAGGAAATTATTTATTTTAAAGCTAATCGCTTATTTTGCCGTGATATATTACTAAGTAATGTAATTTCTATCTGACCTAGTTTTTGAATGTAAACAATAAAAATTACCTTTCTATTGATCATTTAATGATATATTTTTAAAAAAATTGATCCGAAACGAAAATTAATATAAGAGAAAATATTTTATTTAAAAATTAAACAAAATTTACGGCGTAAACTCTTAATTAATTGATTAACATAGAAATTTACAAATTTGGTCGTGAGGGATTCTGATTTAACTCACGTAGTCGGCTAAATGCAGTGTAAGTGAAGTGGCCTACAGACCTACATTTTATTAAAACAATTTTAATTTGTTAGATTCCTGTTTACTTGTAATAATATTAAGTGAAATAACCAATGAAAATAAAAGTGAATAGTGTTGCGGAGTAAAAAAAGTGAAAATGCAAAGATAAAACGAGGCTTTTTACGTCTAAAAAATGCACTCAGACGCAATGCTTAAACGCGTCTTAAAAAGTGAAGCGATCATGGCGGATCTTTCGGAAGCAGAACCTATGGAAGACCATGACCATGGCATAGACCTAGAGTCAGATCCGGATCCTAACACATTACAAATAGCAACAGAAGAAGAATTAGAACCCATGCCCTACGAGGAAACCGATGATGACACAGGTAATTAATAAAAAATTAATAAAAGAAAATCGTACAAACAAATCAATTGTTTGTTCCCCTTCCCCCCTTCTAAATCCCCACCACAGTTTTTTTTACAACGTGTTATGTCATAAAATGTAGACCACATGCTTTTTTTCCTCAAAATTTTGCTTTCTATGGCAAAATAATATTAAATTTTATTTATTTTGGTATTTTAGGTTTATCAAAATCTCAAATTTCTTAATTAAGGTTGTTGTTGTTGTTGTTATTATTATTGTTATTGTTCTATTTATTATTTAATGATAAGATGGGTAATTATGTAATATTGCAGAAAATTTAAAAAAGTATATATATATACATATATACTTAAAAAGTTTTATCCTATAAAAAAAATTGAAAGTATTTTGAATCTAAAGTACATTACCAATGTTGAATGGTTTAATTATTTTTATTATTTTCAATTTCGAATGATTAAAAAAAAAAAAAAAATTGAATTATTATCATTATAAAACAAGTTTTGAATGCATGAATTTAATTTTTTTTTTTTTTTTTCAAGCATTCAAATTTAAATTTATTGAAATATTTGCCTGTTATGCAAACTTCTTATTCAACAAGTTATTGTGAAAAATTTCGAATGAAAGAATTTATTCAAAAAATTTTTTTTTTGCAACAGAAACAAAAATCGAAATAGGTTCTTTTTAAAAAATTAATGTTGCCATATTAATTGTGAACTATTTTATTGATATTGAAGTATGAAGTTAAATATTATCTCATAAAAGTTTTTATTCCGATTTGCTGTCATTATCGATGAGTTTCGAATATTGTTCTTAAACTACTTTCTCCTGTTGTACTTTAAAAATTATTAAAAAATTAATACTTATTATTATTTCTGTCGTTTCTTTCCAATGTTACACATTTTAATAAAGAAGATGCAGAGTAATTGTCTTAGGCTGTTTATAAATTTCAAATTTTTATCAAATACGAAGTGTAAGACATGAAATTACAATTTTTTAAAGCTGTGTTCGAAAGATAATTTTACAAAAAAAAAATAGGGTAAACAAATTTATCAGCAAAAAAGTAGTTGATTTATTGTCAAAACTTGAAACAATAATTTGTGAATACTTTTAAAAAAATGGAATCGATTATTTGCTGTTGTTATTTTCTGAATAATTTTTAAAAAATAATTGTAGTAATTTGTTCGATATTGATAATCTTATTTAAGCTTCTCGATACAGAAATCAATAGTTATGTGTACCCATGGCCAACACATTTATTATTAATGGAAGACATTAATGAAAGGATAAAGTTAACTAGGTTGATGTTCTGTTTTAAAAATGTCTAAATCATTTTGATGAGAAATGTGTGAAAATTTGTGAGCGAATCAGAGAGATCATGTTGAGAAATTTTCATTTTTTTTTCAAATATTCTCTTATTGCTGAATAATAGCAAATATTATTTTGCTGGCTGATAAAACTTATCATTTTCTTTTGTTGATTGTCAAGATGTTTACTTTGGTATTACTGTAGTATCGCGGGGGAGGGGGGAGGAGGAGAAAGAGGGAATAAGATGGAAGAAACAGCAAACATTAGTTAATTATTATGATGCAATGATATATTTTTATTTTTCGTATTTTATTATTATTATTATTTCATATTTAAAAAAAAAATTAAATCTAAATCTGATGTAGCTATATTGAAAATAGAATATTTTCGTTCTCATTCGTAAAAAGACATAAAAATCAAATGAGAAAAAAAAAAGTGAGAGAGAGAGAGAGAGAGAAAAAGTAAACTTATGTAACATGATTTTTTTTTTTTTTTTTAAACCGGCTATTACTGCACTCTGGTACTCGTCATCGAAAGTAAAAGTGGATTTTGCCGAATTCGTTATAATCTTCGTTCCGTGTTTATTTTGCGGCAAAATTTTTTTTTTTTTTTTTTTTGTTTTAATGCCAAAGCGTGTAATAAGAAAATTTTTTTTTCTTTTCTTTTCTTTTTTCTTTTTTCTTTCCACTCGCGATTTCCGGGCTTTGAAATTAGTCCAATCAGTATCGCACAGTCAATTAATACAATAATTTTTAGGCTTAATGCTAAGCGATCGGAATAATTTGTTCTATTATCATCATTTAAAAAAAATGGAAGAGAATTATTATTTCCAACACACACACACACACACACACACACACACACACACACACACACACACACACACACACACACACACACACATTTTCCTGATATTATCATTATATTGTTTTATTATTTTGATGCGACTTTGTATGTGTGTATGTGCGTGCGTGTGTGTGTGAAAATGTAGAATGATTTGGTTTTATTGATAACGTTTTGTTTCACATATAGAAAAATGGCTTCTTTTTTTTTTTTTTTTAAATAGTCTGAAAAATAATAATAAAAAAAAATTTAATTGCAGTGGCGCGAAACGGAATTCATATAGATAACTTATCACAATTATTTTGAAGATACGAGAATTGGAAAACTTTATTCAAAAAAAATTTTCTTGATTTTATGTCGTGGCAGGAAATTTGTAGTAGTAATGGTGGTGGTGGTGATGGCTCCATTCCTTTCTTAAACATTAGGTTTTCCTCTTTTTACGTTTTTTTGTTTTATTTTATTTGAGTTTGTCGTGGAAAAAGAGGGAGAGAGGGAGAGGGAAAAGAAAAGAAAAGAGAGAAAAAGAACAAAAAATTGATTGTGCAAAAAAAAAAGAAAATTTCTAGTCGACCACGCACATGAAAAGAAAAAAAGTTTTTTTTTTTTTTAACGTCTTCGTTAATTAGGTCAGTGTTTTATCTCGGATTTTTTTTTTCTTTTTTTTTCTGTTTGATTTTTATATTCACACTGCCAAAACTTTCTATGTCATTTGTTAAGAGAGAGAGAGAGAAAAAAATGTTTAAAGATTCGCTTATAATTATTTTATTTTTTAATTTTTTTTCCCTTCCCCCCATTGTCGACGAAAAATAATGTTTTTGTTCTAGAATGTCGCCAGTGAGAGAGAGAGAAAAATATTTAGATCTAGATTTTCTTTGTGTTTTTGTTTGTTTTGAAAATTTTCCCATTTTCATCTGAAAATTTTCTTTCGAAAAATGAAATTTAAAAAAAAAAAAATTTGAGTTAGGTTTTTTTTTTGTTTTATTCCTTACCGTAGGTCAAAAAAAAATCGATACTTTGTTGTTTTCTCTCTCCCTCTTTTTTCGGGGGGGCTCGTGTAACCATATGTAAAAAATTAAAAGAATAACGGGGGGGGAAACTTTGAATAAAATCGATTCAAAGGGAATATAAAAAAAAAAAAAAAAAAAAGAAAAAAATTTGCTTTAGTTCGAGATTAATAAAGAAAAATTGAAGATAAATGGGATTGTGTTGTGTGTCTCGAATACGGAGAGAGAGAGAGAGAGAGAGAGTTTTTTTTTAGCTGGCTGTTGTTGTTTGTTACTTGTTCTGCAGCGTTTGTCGTTGTTGATTAGGAAATAATTTATTTATTTTATGTATTTCGTATCAGCTACAGTTTTTTTTTTTTTTTTTTTTTTTTTTGCTCTCTTTTACTTTAAATTTCAGCACGTTTATCGTGAGCGCGATGATGAATTTTTCTGCCATCTGACGGATTTTAACGGAAGCTTTATCAGTTTTTTTTTTTTTTTTTTTTTCTGTAAACTATTATCGTCGAGTTTTCCTAATTAATGTTTTTTTATGGGGAGGGGGGAGGGGAGGAGGGGGAGGTTCGAGGAAACGGAAATACCCCACAGATTTTAATATTGTGCATATTTTTTTTTTTTTTTGTTTTGTTTTTCGTTTGTTTGTCGATTTATATGGCAATAAAGTATTTGTAATTATTTAAGATTGTCGTTGAGTAAAGTTTTCCCTTTTTCTTCTTCGTTTTTTTTTTTTTTTTTTTTTTTTTT